CTCAGCCGCATTACCACTTACACGAGTCGAACTCTTATCTACGACCGCTAAACCTACCACGCTAGCCAATATGGTCGAAAAATAAGTCGAGGCATTGTCAAAAAACTCAGCCGCCTTGCCACATACGGGGAGTCGGACTCTTATCTGCGACTCTAAACCTACCACGCTAGCCAATATGGTCGAAAAATATGTCGGGGCATTGTCAAAAAAATCAGCCGCTTTACCACTTACGGCACGGGGAGTCGAACTCTTATCTACGACCTCCAAACCTACCACACTAGCCATTATAGTCGAAAACGAAGTCGGGGCATTGTCAAAAACTCAGCCGCATTACCACTTACAGGATTCGAACTCTTATCTACGACCTCCAAAACTACCATGCTAGCCATTATGATAGAAAAATAAGTCGAGGCATTGTCAAAAAACTCAGCCGCGTTACCACTTACGGGGAGTCGAACTCTTATCTACGACCTCTTAACCTACCACGCTAGCCATTATGGTCGAAAAATAAGTCGGGAAATGTCAAAAAATTTAGCCGCATTACCACTTACAGGATTCGAACTCTTATCTACGACCTCCAAAACTACCATGCTAGCCAATATGTTCGAAAAATAATTCGGGGCATTGTCAAAAAAATCAACCAGAGTATCATTTACGGGGAGCCGAACTCTTATATACGACCTCCAAACCTACCACGCTAGCCATTATGGTCGAAAAAAAGGTCGTTGCATTGTCGAAAAATTCAGCCTCATTACCCCTTAGAGGAGTCAAACTCTTATCTACGACCCCTAAACCTACCACGCTAGCCATTATGGTCGAAAAATAGGTCGGGGCATTCCAAAAATTTCAGTTGCATTGCCACTTACTGGAGTCGAAAACTTATCTACGACCTCCAAACCTACCTCGCTAGCCATTATGATTGAAAAACCAGTCGGGGCATCGTCAAACAATTCAGCCGCATTAACTTTTACGGGGAGTCGAACACTTGTCTACGACTCCAAACCTACCACGCTATCCATTATGGTCGAAAAATAAGTCGGGTCATTGTCAAAAAATTCAGTCGCGTTACCATTTACGGGGAGTCGAACACTAATCTACGACCTCCAAAACTACGACGCTAGCCATTATGGTCGAAAGATAAGTCTGGTCATTGTCAAAAAAATCAGCCGCATTACCACTTACGGGGAGTCGAACTCTTATCTACGACCTCCAAACCTAGCACGCTAGCCATTATGGTCGAAAATTAAGTCGGGGCAATGTCGAAAAACTCAGCCGCATTACCACTTACGGGGAGTCGAACTCTTTTCTACGGCCTCCAAACCTACCACGCTAGCCTTATGGTCGAAAAATAAGTCGGGGCAGGGGCGGATTTAGCAGCAGGGGTGGATTTAGCCCACCCCCCATCTCAGGGATTTGACTTTCTCGCCAACCAAAGGTTACTCCTTTCTATTATGTTGATTATGAAATCCATGTTGGGCCGAAAAACCCGTAAGTTGTTTTTGAAGTGGCTACACTAACCGAAGGGTACTCCTTTCTATTAATTTCTGAAAATCATTTTGGGCCAATAAAACCCTTAAATTTTTCTGAAAGTGGCTGTGGCGCTAATATATGCTAACTTTGAAGGCAATCGCGCGCCAAAAAGCGCAATTTTTTGGTCAAAAGTTTCTAAAAAGTTCCCAAAAACAGCATTTTTGACCTGGCCTTATCAAAAACTTTAGCTGCGGTGCAGCAAAATTTTTATCAAAATAGGATCTTTATACTGTTCTAGGAGTTCTCGGAAAATCAATTTGTTCTAACTTGGAAACAGGTCGACAAAATTTTCGAAAAACTTCGAAGATCCGACGTCCTGTCTCGAGAAAATCTTAGATCCGCACATGATTCGCAGGGTAGTTCAAATATTTACTTGAGACGGCCAAAAGAAACCAATTTTTGCTGAAAACAGGTCGGAAACACTGGTCGCGGTTATTTTTTCTTCGGTGGCGCCGGTCACGCACACATTCCTTTCGTCTGCAGAGTCGGGAAATACCAAATTTTGGTCGCAGTGGTTTGAAAATACCCAACTTTGGTTGCGATATAACTTAAATTACCAAAAAATTGTTGCGACTGTTTGATCATAAAACGTCAATCTAGACCCGTGCAAAGAAAAAACAAGCAGTTACTGATCAAGTAATTTTGAAAAATTACAGCTTTGGATCATTATTTTTTCTTGCCTTTTTGTCCGGATAAAACTTAGTTCGAACAAGAAATTAAAATTAATGGGTTTTACAATATTTATCTTCGTGTTATATATTTATACAAAAAAAACAAAAGTTTATAAAAAAAAACAAATATTTATTTAAGAAAAAAAACTTCAAACCGCTGGCATGCAAACTAAAAACTGTTTGTTTTTGTTACGACTTTTGAAACGAAAGTAACGGAAAATTTGTGAGCTTGAAATAAAAAATATTCTACCCGTGCGCCTTCTTTGTAAAGTTATGGAGGCTTGAAAAGTGCAATTTTGGCTAATCAGGGACAATTAACGCGCGATACATTTCGCGCTTTTAACGCCTAAGCGGAGATTCAATACATCTTAGAAATATTTCCAAATTGGTTGAAAGTAGCAGATTTTTCATTATTGATTGGTTACTAGGAGGAAAACTTATCAAGTTATACTTTATTGGACGTGTGGAAGATGATTTTCACAAAAAAAAATTTTTTCACACCATTTTTATGTTTTTACTGCTCCATAGACCTTAAAAGGCATTCGGAACATTCATGGCCTTGCCCTGGCACGAGTAGTCTTGTTTCAATATAGCGCATAGAGGGATGGATGAAAAAAATGCGAAAAATTGTATTCAATTCTATTCAAAACTGCATTCGATTTCTTGAACTTTCGAGCAAAAACATTTTCGTCGGCTTCAAGGGCAGTCAGAAGTTTCAAGGTTGTTATTTTTATGAAAAAAAATTCAAAATGGAACATTTGCGTCGTTTTAAGGGCAGCACAACAGTAAATCTTTTTTATTGTGTTCAATTTAGCCTGAAAGCAAAAACGTTGACACCAAATTGTCTTCACACGGGTTGAACTTCATAGACCAAAAATGCTAATCATGCAATTCCACAAACTATGTCTTTGAAAAGTAATGTTCATACAAACTTCATACATTTTGCTCAAAAGGTGTCATCGAAGTTTTAAACTTTTTTTCTTGTTTTGGCGCTAAATTTTTGTTAAAAAAGGCCATGAAAAATAAAGACTATCCGTAATGAAAATTATGACAACAAATTTTTCGACCGCCAAACTTTTGAAATTGCCTAAAAATTTTTTTTTCAACCGCAAATTGAATTTTTTACTCAAACTCTTTAATTTTTTGTGCAAATAACGTAGTCCTGGATTCACCATAACGGGATTTTTTCCTTTTCTCTATAACGTTTTTTTTTTTAAATTGCTACTACCTCCTCTTTCTTTTGCATGGTATTTTTGAGTGTGCCTTGATCACAAACACATCACAAAAGTTTTGAGCAAATGAGTTTTAAAAAAAAACTTTGTTTTTGGTTCATGGGAAATTGCTAGTCATATATTTTCCATATTGAAAAGTCACTAATCAAAGACCTTTCATGAAATTTTGTGTACTTAAAAAATTACATGAAAAGTGTAGGACCAGCATTTTCCTTATATGAAAATTGTATGACTAGCGTTTTTGGTCAACCGGACTACTAGATGAATTTGCTTTGTAGTTCCATTCACGATTTAAAAATTTAATTTGAGAATTTGTTCGATTTCCTTTGTTATGCTTTTGCGTTATATGTCTTAAAATCAAACTGTATTAAGTGCTCGACAGTCGACAGATTGCAGCGAGTTTTACAGCCTGCAGGTGTGAAGATTAGTAGAGATTGTAGTTGTATGTTATTCTCATGCTGGCAAGTAATTAAGTTATTCCTATTTTAATTTAAACCAATTGTTGGTCTTAGTTTGTTGATTTTTGCAACCGAGTTGAACAAAAGGGATTATCATACGATTTCCTTTATCTTTATGAAAAAATGCGTATCGTACAATTTCATAGATACAAAAAATGTTAAGAAAACTCCAAGATACGCTGTTTTATAGATTGAAATTGTAAGACAAGCAGCTTTTCTAAAACCAAAAACTTGACTTTTTTGAAACCTCATTTCTCAAAATTTTTGGGATGTGTTCGTGACCGAACACAAATGACTAAAACCATGGTTCACCCAAAACTAGAGTCACCAAAGGGTTGATCGTCTGGCATTTACAATGCATTGGAAACCACCTGAATTGTGTAATAGTATTCCTCGCAAATCATATACTGAAAGCATCAAACTTTCAAATTTTGGCAAAGATTTTTAAAAATGTATACTTTCAAAGTTAGAACAGTAAAACTATCCAAAAAAAACATTAAAAAAACAGTGAAAAAATAACTTTTGTGTATCCAGGAATATGTCCATTTTTCATCACCAGACTGTTTTATTTGGATCAAATAGCCGCAGAAACTAGTTCTAATCTTTTTTCGATGGATTTTTTTTTGTATGAAAAATGTATGAGTAGCATTTTTCCATACAAATGGTGTATGGAAATGTATGATAAGCATTTTCGGTTTATGGAGATCAACCTGGGCATATTTTCTGGATATTCTGGACAGAATTTTTTCCCTTTACCGAGAAAAAAATTTTTTCATTTCCTTCTGCTTGAACAGAATGTTCGTTTCGTTGTTTTTTCCGAAAACAATCCCATTAATCTCTCATTGTATTTCTATTTTTAAAACAGCTCAAATAACAACTCGCACCAAAATAAGCATAGAAAAAGAGTGTGAAAAGTGTGGTCTAAACACCTGATTTCTTAGTGATAACTTCAGATGATATTTCAGGTGATGGTTTTGAAAAAGTTATCTTTATGCTAAATTAACTCAAACTGGTTATTAAGGAAAAGTTATGTTTCATTTCTTATGTTTCTTTTGTTGACTTCTTAAAGTTTTTTAGTTTCAAGCTTTTCCACCTGATTGTTATCATACCGGTCTTGTGAGGATAAAATTTTTGCGGCACAATTTTGGTTGTCTCTGTGAGCACAGACACAGTGGCCACATGGAAGCCTTTTGGGTTTCTCGAAGGGTTTGAAACAACAGCTGCAGAAGGTCTGCTTCTCAGTGGCAACTTTACGCATCGCTTATGAAAGAGAACTCTTCACACTTCATTGACCTCTAAACAAATGCAGAAGATAGTAGCTCTACTCTAACATTTTCTAACATTATGGGATTTGGTCTTTTTTATCTTTCACCTATGATTGGCTGTCAATCGATATATATTTTTTCAACAATCTGCTGAGAGTTTCAGTGAAAATGTTGTTAACTCTTTGCAACTCAATTATGAATAGGGCAAACACTCAGAGCATAATTTAGAAGAGTTATATCTGATGATTGGGGGAAACTGCGTTCGAATAAATTGTTTCATGAAGCCAGGTGGATACAAAGAGAGATGATATCTTTTACTAAAAAAACTTGGTTTGCTTTACCCGTTATCGTAGTCATAGATGCTTTGTTCGTAAACCTGTTATCGCAAATCTGTAATAAAAAGATGCTTTGAAAAATTGGCGAAGTTTTGTTGTGAGCCAAAGTGTTTCTCTCCTTGTTCAGCCCAGTTGAGAGGACGCAAAAAAGAAAAAGAGAAATAAGTTAAAAAGTGAAAGAATTACACTCAACGAAAATATTTACCTTAACTGTTAAGGTGAGTACATTGTTAAGCTAATTTTTTAAGGTAACCTAGAGGTGAGTTAGGGTAAAATTTAAAGTAGTTGCCCCCTAAGTTTTAATGAAGGTAAAATTGAGGTGAGTTGAGGTCAAATTTAAGGTAGTTCCCCCACAAGTTTTAATTATGGTAAACTTGATGTGAGTTCAGGTAATTTTCCTCAATTATCTTAAAGTGTACGCTCCCTTTACGCCATTTGAATTTATTCTCTAAACAATCAACACTGGCTTCTCCCGAAACTGAGATATATCAAATCAGAAATCGTATCAAAATCAAGAAAAGTTGAGAGTTCTAGCAAAATCAATGGCAGAAATAATAATCATAATAAACGAGGTCGTTAAAAGTTCAGAGGTCTAGAAAGATCAACGCCAGAAATAAAAATAGTGAAAAGAGGGCCTTAGACGGTTGAATTGCAGTTGCTCGGCACTAAAACTTTTTTACCAAATTTACTCAATTTAATAAACACGCTACAAGAAACGGCGTTTTTGATTTGAAAAAAAATGGTCCTGAAAATGCGTACAAAAGCTTGGTAAGCACAGAATTTGCTTGTTACTTTTTGGCAACAGAGTTCGCTTTTTGTGAGCAGAGTGCTTTTTACAAAGTATTTAGCCCGAAAAAATATGTGCTCTATTCATAAATCTTTGCACACGTGCTAAAAAAATCAAATTAAGAAAAACTTTGGACTTTTGTGAACAATTAAAATGAATAAACTAGTCAGGGCGCTGAGTAAAAAAAAGGACAAGACAATAAGGCGACTTGACATTAAAACGACATGACTTTAAGACGACAAATACGAAATAAAACAAGTAAAGTGACAGTTTGAAGTTAGGCGAATGGTGTTCTTCAGCAAAACAATTGGGGAGGTTGTGTGTTAACATGGTACACACAAATTCCCCAATTGTTTTGCTGAAGAACATCATTCGCCCAAGTCCCAACAAAAGTGGTTCTAATCTTTGCATTTTTCGTCTTTTTACCGACTAGCAAGTTTCATTGTGAAAAATTCAAAATGTTCAATTATGTTTTTCACGCAATTTTTTACAACACATTTGCTAAGCATTTAGATTGATGAAAAAAATACTATTATGAATCATACTGTGGATGTAAATTTGTTTCTTTAGCGGTTGTAGTCAACAAAATTTTCATCAATGGATCAAATTTCTTTTAGAAGCAGATGGAGTTTTAAATCTTCATAATTCCGGATTATAGCTTTCAAAAGTCCGTCCTGGTTTGAACAAGGAAATTTGTTAACTAGTTTTCGATCCAATTAACAATGTTTTTTTTTCATCGCGTGTCGCTTATCTTCCTAGCTATTTAACTAAATTATCAGCAAAAATTTTACACCAAACTTTTCTCACAGACAAACTTCGTTGCGAAAGCGAGGTTTATCAAAACACCAAAGCTGAGAAAAAACGCTATTCATACGATTTGCAGTTATAGAAAAATGCTTGTCATGTAACCCCATTGTAATCCCTGAAGGAAAAATTGTGAAAAAATAGCATGACTGCAAGTTTTATCCAGTTAAAAGTATGACAAGCATATTCCGAATATCGAATTATTATTTTGTTTGTTTTGCTTTAAAATTGGGATTTTCACTGAAACTACTAATAGGAAAACCAATACACAAAATGGCATAAAAATTGCAGAATAAACTGGGTATTGGGATACCTTAAGAAAACTAACACCCAGAATTGTAGGATATGCACGCAGAATTCAGCGGAAAATCAGAAAATAAGTTCTATTTACCATAGAAAACCTTGATTCTTCCGTCTGAAAAAACGCTGCTTTCACTACCTTAAAGTCAGGAATTTACTTTCGCAGACAAAATTTTTATTTTCGTGAAGTGGTGATTTTATTATAAAGTTAGTTCAGCGACTAACCTAGTAGTTTGAAATAGAATCCCTCGTGTTTTTAACCTTTATAAGGGAAAACGCTTGTCTTACAAATTTTATATCAGTAAAAAAGCCCAATTTTTCAAGAAAAATAATATTCTCAGGAAAACGCTTTTCATACAATTTTCAAAGTAATAAAACAACCAAAAAGTAGTTGGAAAGTCTGTTTGTGCCCGCACAAAAAATTGCAGCGAGATGAATTTCTTCTCTGCTTTGATCAAAAAACTTATCAGAAGCGACAACTGTTCTGACTCCTCTAGAAAATGCAATCAAACTGCTCGCAACTGTGCAAAACATTTCCCCTGATATTCAACCCGTATGTTTTTCAGTTCTCCTGTTGACCTAGTTTTCCATGATATGAAAAGAACGCCTTAATTTCAAATGTCACGAAAACTTTCACCCAAGGCAATGTGAATTTCAATATCGTACTAATTTGCTCTTTGCAGCGCAAAGACTGATTCAATAGATTTCCTTTAGCTCTATCAGGATTGAATTTCTAACTACGGGTTACTTCGTTGTACAGTGTTTTAAGTAAATTAGCTGTACAAAACGAAAAAAAAATGAACACTTTTTTTGTCTACGGTCATTGCATCTGAAGAAAAAAGCGTATGAAATTTTAAATTTTATGCTTTCTGTCTGGTTAATTTGCACTATAATGAAAAACTCTCCACTTCACGTGATTCATTTATCGTACATGTTCAAAGCGGCAATTTGCAATCCAATGTTACTCTTGGAGAATATAATCGAAAGCGATTCCAATTTCCAATTAGTAAAAATTGTCTTTAATGGTTCAAACAAACAATTTTTTACACAAAAAAAGCATCGCATAGCCTTAAAATCCCTATTATTAATCCGGTTTTTGAAGAGAACGAAATAATTATGCTCGGTGTGGATTTTTTTCAATCAATTTTTGACGATTGAAACAATGATGTTCAACAAAATTTTGTATACCCCATTGAAGTTATTGACTTCGTGAGTTCAAATTTGAAAAGATATTTTAACTCCAATTATTTTTGTAAAGCTCTGGAGATTTAAAAATTGCCAAATTGGCCATTATCTTGACTAAATTATGCGCGCTTTAACAAATTTATTGTTCCTTTTTTTGTAAAGAAAGTAGCGGAATATTTGTGCTCGTGGTGGGTTTTTTTTCTTCAGACAGATTTCGACTTTTTACCTAGCCATTTTGACAAAATTTTAAAAAATCATTCAAGATTTCTTGTTGCTCTAAGAGCTTATATTTGAAAGGATATTTCACCTGTGATTGTTTTTGTAAAATTATGGGGCTTTCAAGATAGCAATTTTTGTCAATTGGGACATTTAACGCGCGATATAATTCGCACTATTGACGCGTAAACGAAGATTTATTCCTTCTTAGAAAGCATTCCAAGTTGGTTAAACGAAGCTTCTTTGCCTTAATTGATGTGGTACTAGGAGCGAAAATTATCACTTTGTGTTTTATATGGCATGTGTGGTGATTTCTTCAAATATTTCTCCAAAAAATTTCAAATTAAAAGCAAAAATGTTCATTTTGTTTTATTTCATTTAATTTTTTCATGTTATTACTGCTCGAAAGAGTTTAATAGGCAGTCGGAGCATTCAATTAAATTCAATTCTCGCCCTGATACGAGCAGTCTTGTTCATATTGCTAAGCGCGTAATGCAAAATAACCCGCACAACAACATCGTTCCAAAACGAAATGAGGCTAGCGAATGGGATCGGTCGTATTATTTTCTTACGACTCCACTTTTCAGACTTTGATATTGTCAAAAATCAATAGGTTTTTAAACTTTTTTCCTAAGACTATTTGAAATGAATTAAAGGACAGTTGGAACTTTCAGGGCTTTGCCCTGATATACGAGCTGTCTTGTTTGAATTTAAGAATTACCACGGAGAATTGTTGTTTGGAATTTACTTGTTTAACTTACGTATATCAAAGGATCGACGTAGTAAGCAGTCAGTTTCAGGAATTCAAATTTTTGAAGGATCGGACGCAAGCGCGATAATCGTAAATCTAATTATCTAAATTACTACGTAAGCAATCAGCAAAAAAATTATTTGAAAATTGTTCAGTTGATCTATGAAGCGTATAAACTTTTTTTTTCTGTAGAATATTTTCTTTGCAACAGTATAACTTTTAAATCGGCAAAGGCAAACTAAACCAACTTTATGACCAGCTAAACAGTAGCAAGTAATGGTTTAGAATAGACGACAAAATATTGTTTTATTGGCTGTGAATCTTTTTTGTGCGTAGCTAATTTATAGTAGTTTAAGTTTTGAACATTTTTGGTGAAATGACTTATGAGTTTATACGCTGCTACCGTGAAGTTTTTATAGCCAGCTGATCAGTAAATCAAAAAATTCAAAGACTACCAAAACTAATGTTTTATTGAAGAATTTCGTCAAAAAAAATCAAACATGATAATGGACAGATTTGTAGAAATGAAAATTAATTGGGTACTTTGGTTTGAGGTGTTGGTTTCATGCCCAAAATACTCTGTCAAACTAACACTTTCAAATCTTTTCAACGTCGTTAAATAATATACTGAATTGACCAAAACACCTAATCATACATTTTTCTATTTTCGATAAAAACTTTATGTATATCCATATAAATCCAAACGTACAGAAGTTATCTGAAACCTCGGTGATAAGTATTTTTCTATATATGAAAAATGTATAACTATTTTTTTCCACAATCAGAAGTTCCGATTTTTGTGTTTTAAAACTCAAAAACTTTACTAGTCAATAATCGTAGCGTGATTTTTGTGAAAGGCTAAAATATATCTTTATAAAAAAAAGCAATGAACGTTTCAAGTTTGGATTTGCTAAAAAATCATAGTAATTTCTGTTCAACCTTTACTACTTTATATTCAACCTTGACTTTCTTATGGACAAAACTACAAACTTTTGCATGCAAAATTTTTTCAAAAATTGTGTATTTGAGTATGTGCATTTTGCGACTAGAAAGAAAAATTACTAGCAAAAACTGCTTTTTTACAATTT